TTTTAAGCTTGAGCTTTAGGAACTTCTTCAACAAATATACGGGACACTGAATTCCATCCTGTGTGGCCATCAGCATTTCCATATGAAGCGCAGTTGCCGATCCAGAATCCCACGCGCACCTTTCCTTTATGGATGTTATTACAGTGCCCCTAAATATGGCGGACGCGAAGGAGATTTTTATTACCGCCTGTCGCCATGTAGACAACTCCGTCAATGGGCAGAGGAGCAGAACACTCAGAGCCATTGAAAGTAAAGTACCAACGTTTGCAGCAGGAATTGCAGCTGGCAATCCTTAGTGCACCCGTCCAGTAAACATGAAGGGCAGTATCAGAAAAGTTTTTGGTGAAAACACAGTCCTGCAAAAAACACAAAGAATTTGAAAGAAAATCTATTAATGAAGAGGCTCAGTAACAGATTAATGTTTCATTACATCTAAAACCTAGATCTAGCTTAGATCTGATAGCAACTGCCTAGTGCCCAATATTGATTGTGGTCGTTGTGGATAGACAAATAAATCAGTTCATGAATGTAGAGGTCAAGGCTAACTTCACAGCTGGGAGACTGAATTTATCCTTTTTCCGAAAAAAGGACTGATATAATCTACTGCTGTAGTCAGCCTTGCATTTTTTTAATTTTGTGCTATACAAGATTTTACTGGCTAGGAGTAGATCCACCATTATGATGATCATGCACCTTTAGGTTTTTAATTTGGCCCTCTTCGACGTACCCCGTAGAAACGGTGCCCCTGTTACTTGTCCTCCCCTCCACCTCCCAAACCCTTCATCCAGCGTTAGAGACTGTTTTCAGCTAGAACTTTGACTTTCCAGTTGTCACGCCTATTGGTTGCTGGAAGTCGTTGGCGCCGACCAATTCAAAACCTTAACATTCCCCGGCAAAAACGGGGCATTTGACCATCACTTGTGCCTGGGGGTGGGGAATTGAACCGCACGCCTCAAGTTTAACTTTTTTTAAGCTCCGGTGTCTGACAACTATTTCACATCCTCGGTAGATGCGATCTTTCTCATAATTAGACGGAAGACTTGAAACGGTTTAAGACACATCTGTTGTAAACGAATGGTTTTTTTTACTTCAAAAGCTAAGTGTATGCTGTTTTGTTACCATGACCCCAAGTTACCTCCAGGTTTCCCTTAATTCATAAGTACATAGCAGTTCGAAAACTGAATTACGTATTCACGTTACAAAAATTAAATTATAGATCTAAGCATTAACTAATCTATCTTAATTAAAAGGAATAAAGAAGCTGACAAGAGATAAGATGCCAAAAAAAGTTATCGAAATAAGCTGCGAAATTTGAAAACCTTAACCTATAAGTTAGTTGCTTTAAGACATGAAAAGATAATAAAGTTATTCTTAAAAAGGTCAGTTTTAAAACGTGGCATGTTAAAAGATCGCGCATGCCTTAATGAATAAGTAGATTCGTGCGGTGCAGGTAATAACTTATAAAGACGGTGATTGTTGTCATTGACTATTGTTTGAAAAAGTGACTCACATATTTCGTCATGGTGGGCTGCTATTTTCTTAAATTTCATAATAACAAGAGCCTAATGATAGCTAACATTGGACATTGCTCTCTTCTGTACAGTCTGTTCCAATTCTTGCGTTAAATATTTAGGCAAACTGAAGTGAAAGGCCGGTAGTGCATAGTCCATAATTGATCTAATACAACTAGAGTGGAAGAGCCCTAAATCAATGCGAGTAACCTTAGCTCTCTTAAGTTGTACCAAAAAATATATAATCTCTTGTAGCCCTTCTTAACAGTTTCATTAATATAAATATTCCAGGTCAAATCACTGGAAATATTGAGACCCAATAACTTTACAGTCTCTACAACTTCTAAAGCATAGCCGTTAATGAGAATGGGCTCAAATTCTTGCTGGGATTTTGAAAAGGATATTCGCATTTCTGGACTCTGTTTTTGACCATTGCACTACTCTATCTTTAGTACGTTGGGCGTTGCTAATTATAAGTTCCCCCTTCGCGACTTTTTCGGAGATAGTGGTATCATCTACATATTTCCATAAGCGCGCATTTTTGACAACAAGGTCGTTAATCATAATCAAAAAAAGCCAAGGCCCTAATTTGGTTCCTTGAGGGGACAGGTTCCCGCTCAGATACATCATAAAGTTCACCAAGTTTGTTCAATACAAAGTATATTATCATGACCGGAAGATAAAAGCCCGACTTACTTTTAGACGTCCGAAACATTTACCTTTCTTCCACACAACATATAATCTTCAAAACATTTCTTCTTTGGGAGAGTCATTTGACTACTACATTAGGCCGTAATGTATAAGGAGAATTTCTCTTTCCTCCACAAAGGCCTCTCTGTATCGTAGGGAAGCTGGGGAGAGTGAAAAAGGAAGCGCGCGGGGGACAATGGGATACCCAGCGGGGGCCTTTGCGGAGGAGAGAAGGAGAATTTGATCAGGCGTGCCTTAAAAAGTTCAAATGCCCAGGGGTAGGGGGGCGGGGCCTTGGGGGATGTTGAAGTTTCGAATTCAACAACAACAACTACAAGCTTTATTTGCAGAACCATACAAGTACATACTAGTATTGCAAAAGCTATTTGTAATTATGGTTCAAAAATATGAACTAAAATTTAATCACAGTAAAATTAAGCCACTTTGTCCATAATTCGTCGCGTCACGATATATATATAGTATATATATATGTATATTTTTTTTCTTCAAGTTTTGTTTTGATAATGACCAATAGTGAATACCATTGACAATACTGGAACGAGTACCTTACGCGCTCGAAATTCTGCCGACAAAATTCAGTGTACAAGCCTACGTGTGTAACTAGGCTGCTATATAGTGAATGTCGCTTTATAATGAGTGCGCGGCCAGAAGCCTTTAGATATTCGTTGGTATGCAAAAAGCCTTTTGGAAAATGGCTGCTGCATGCTCTGAGTTGTGCATAAATTTGATAATTTTATGCCCATCAATCGCAAATGCACGACTCACCTTGATCAGACCAGTGTCCTTCTGATCATCCAAGTTGTTTCAGGCACATTCTTTCCAATTCTTAAACGGCATCGGGCTAAGTTCCCATTTTTGACCGGGAGGACCCTGGGCTCCAGGTTCTCCTTTAGCCCCTTCCACTCCCTTTACACCAGCAGGTCCCTTATCACCAGGAGGTTCCTTAGGTCCAGTCTTCCCCTGCAATCCTTGATCGCCTTTAGCTCCATCACGGCCATCACGTCCGTCACGTCCGTCGCGGCCTGGTGCCCCAGGAGTACCATGCTTGCCCGGCATGCCGGGAATGCCACAACCACCATAACAAAACGATGGAGACTGCTAGTTTCAAACAAGAAAATAGTAAAAATTATAAAAAATATATCTTGTTGTCCATCGACTGATTGATCAAAAAACTGAAAGGCAGAAATGCCGGTATGTGTACTTTTAGTAGAAACAGCTCGAGCTTTCCGCATATAAGAAAAATGCTTGTACAATGGGCTAATTTTTATCTGAAAATTTCAGTTTCCTAAGGTCTCAGATTCAGAAAAGGCGGCATTTTTTTCATTTTCATGTGTTCGCTTCTCCTGCCTGCTTCTTAAATAGGTGTTATCTTCACCTCTCCACCATCACGTCTTTCTTCAGTCAAATGTCAGTGGCGTGGCGTCCTGAGAGCTTTCCCCATGTTGCTCGAGATTTCCCCCAAAATATCCCTTAATTTGTCAAAAAGTTGCCCAAAAGCTCCTCAAAGAAAGTCAAAAGTCTCTTTTTGTAGCGAAAGTTGCTAAAAAATTGTTGAAAAAAACTGTACCGTGGTTTGTGCGGACTGTTTGTTGCCCCTAGTTGCCGTTACAGAAGTCATCATGGCCAGCAGTAACATTAATAAACTTAGCATGATGATCAGTTCGACCAGTTCACTTGACCAGATCTATAAAAAGCTCCTCAGCTGCCTGTGGAAAAGAGAATGATGCACTTTAGCCTGGTACTTTCAGGC